TGGCAAGCCAACACGACGTGTTGGCTGATGTTTTCCTGCCTGTAGAATTGTTCACGGAACACGGCGTGGTAAAATGGAAACACAGCGTGTTGGGTCAATCTGGGCTGTTGACCTTGACCGTTGACTTTGACTTTAACCAAGTTTGACCTTGAGGGTATTTTGGATATTGTTGGGTTTTGATGGAATTGGTCACATGGTGGTTGTAGGCATTTGAGTTGTGAGCTGAGATCCGGAGTCATGCCTTATTAGTTCTGCGCCGCATGTGAGGTGAGTCTTCCTCACTGTACTTCCGGGTCGAAGGCACCAAGGCCGACCTTTTGGTTTGATTATCTGATATTGATGATATGTTAAATATAGAATTGATATGCATGCTAGTATTGATATGCTAGTTTTGATATGCTAGTCTGGTAGATCTGTAGGATTACCTGTGATACTGTCTCTTTATCGAAATATGTTATTATCTGTTATATGTAGACATATTGCATGGGTTGGGTTGAGGTGGTACTGCTTCGTCCTATAGACAACAAACCCTGGAGCAAGCCAGATATGAGCTGAGGGCCAGGGAGGACATGATAGACTCATACTGAGGGCTCATGAGCATTCTAGATACGAGTTGAGGGTCGGGAAGGGCATGCCAGACTCGTACTGAGGGCTTAGTGGTAATCAGTCTGAGGATTGATCAGGCCGGGGAGCAAGCCAGACATAAGCTGTGGGCCCAGGGGTCAAGCGAGACTTATTATGTGGGCTCAAGGGTAATCCAGTCTGTTAGTTATGAACCCATTTCATGTTGTTATTATAATTATGCTATTTGTCATGTATTGGTATTTTGGGGGAAACTCACTAAGCTTTGGGCTTACAGTTTTGGATTATGTTTCAGGTACCTTAGAGGATCATGGGAAGGTGAAGGCGTGATCGTGCACCTCCTCATATTGTGTTTTATGATTTTGGGAAAAACTCTGATGTTTAAACTATTTTGAAAACTACAATGTAAACAATTATGATTTTTGGTTGGTTGAAAAAGTTTAAATTTTTATAAATTTTTACGAATGTTACATTAGAAGTTTATTTCAATGTGAAAAGCTTGCTTATGGAGATTGAAGCATATTTATTTTACTACATCCCAAGGTATGTGCATATAACATGTATTGTTAATGTAGGTTGCTTAAGTTCTTAATAGTTCTTTTGAAAAAGTGCATTAACAGGTGCCTGATATAAAAGGACTACCTATGTGAGTGTGAAGTGATGCCGCTTCAGAAAGCTTGGGCTAGGATTTCATTCACTCATGAATGGATAGGACACATGGCTGTAATAGTGTCAAGTATGAAACAATAGATATTGTGTTTTACTTATGTGTATAGTATCTTTAGTTACTCAAATAAGTTGATGGGTTTAATCCATAGGACACCCTAATTCTTGATTATTTGACATGTATATTATACTAATGTGAAAATTCAATCTTCAAAATATTTTCATTTATGCATAAGTTTTATTTTGTGTTTTCTTTTAGTTAATTGAGGATCACACTAAAATGGGGGAGGAATGTTGGTGATTTTAGTGTTATCAACATATTTTGGTGTAACTTTTTATTAATAATGAGATAGGACGAGCTAACTTTACTAATCAAGATAGGAGGTGCGGGGTGCACACTCGGTGTGATAAATGTGAACTCGGGAAAACGATGGTCCGGGGGAAGCAACCTTGGGTGCAGGGTTCCAAGGGGCTGCAACCCTTGGCGGGATTTAGGGGCAGCGTCCCTTGTGGGGTCCAAGGGGCAGATCCCATGTAGTGGCTAGGGGCAGCCCTCCGAAAACTAAACATATTTTTCTTCGGGTGTGACTCAAGTCATGCAATTTCCCGCCAAAAACCCACTGAGGACATTATAATGATGTAGGTATCAGTTGTGTTCAATAACCACCAAGTTTTGGCGCCATTTTTTGTTTAACCGATTTTAAACACTTTTCCCTCAAGTATAAGAACTCTTCTTTGTTTTCAGAAAAAGGGTTGGAACATTCTTACACTTGAAATTACATTATAATTTCTCTATCTCTAAAGAACACAAAACAACAAGGTATATTTTTCCATGTTTCGATTTTGGAAGTGGCCTGATTTCCAAATTGCAATCATGATCCCAGAAATTATCCAAGTTAATTGATAATCTCCATACCTAAAATTTTACATTATTGTTATTAATTAGAAATTAATATTAAATGAGTTTTAAATAAAATAAAATAAAAAAGTTAAAAATTTATAAGGGGGTGTTTGGTATAGGGAAATAAGAGAAAAAATATAAAGAAAAGAGAAAAAAATTGAATTTTATTTCCATTAATTTATTTCTCTATTATTTATAAAGAAAATGAGGGAATTGATATGTGAAGGATTTCCCGAGAAATGAAAAAGAAAAGCGGAGAATTGAAAATCAAAGACTACTCTCCTCAGTTCGAGTCATGCATATGCTTTTTCCCCTTTATTTCCCTTCTACAGGTGTGTCAATCTTCCTTCCTCCTTTCGTGTCAATCTTTTTGTCCCTTCTACCTTTGATTTTGGACTGGACGTTGCCTTCGGCCTTCAATTTTAACATTGATTTTGAACCGGACGTGACTATGCCCTATTCTCTCTCTCTCTCTCTCTCTCTCTCTCTCTCTCTCTCTCTCTCTCTCTCTCTCTCTCTCTCTCTTAGCCTTAAACGATTTCTTCTACCAGACGATCTTGGTAACTCATGATTCAACAATTAAGGCATTTTTTCCTTCATATAATTGATTTAATTGCTCATCCGTTCTAATTCATTTGTTTTGTGTGAATTATAATGTGTTTTAAGTGCTTATGGTTTGATCGATCTCTATGAAGAATAGATAATTTTTTTGATTTATTGTTTGATCATCTTTGTATTGATGTACTTGGTAATATGTGTTCACCTATTGCAACTTTCTTTTATTGGTTTGTGATTGAATTGTATGTACAAAGCAATTTCTTTTACTATCAGTTTTTTTTATAGAATTTTACCCCACTTTGAACCGTTATAAAATCTTCATACGAGCTTAGAATGAAGTGAATATTTTCCCAATTGTAGTCCTCTATCTTGGTTGCGTTTTAGGATAAAAAAATAGCTTAATTGGTTAAGATTTGGCTGAGTTATACAACCCCAAAACTGGGCTGTTATGATTGTTGGTTAGTTTTTCAGCACTTTTTATAAATTTTTCCCAACTTTGAACCGCTTTAAAATCTCGATATGAACTCGGAATGAGGTGATTTGTCCCCAAATTGTATTCCTCTGTCTTGGCTGTAGTTTAGGCTCAAAAAATAGCTTAATTAGTTTAGATTTAAGTGACTTACACAACCCTAAACATGGGATGTTGGGTTTTTTTTGTGTGCAAAATTTTAAGTTCTTAATTTAAACAGAAAGACAATAAAATAAGGAAGCATGCGATATGATAGATAAAATCATCGAAGATACACACCGCATGCCAAATATTAATGTCAAACAACGACTTAAGGCGATTGACATATTTAGCAAAGCTTAATTCTGCATCTGATCATTTTTTGAGATGATACAAAATGAAAAGATTTGTTACATGAAAATGATTGCGGATGGCTCAATATCATGATTAGGATGTTTAAAGTTATGTTTTTTTAGTTGTTAATAATATTGAATTCGACTTTTTGTACATCCTATATTGGACATAGTACCCAGTTTTTAAATAGTATGATTTTCATATCTCTTTATGTTTGGATCTATTTGTAACTTATTAGTTTATATTATAAATATGTTTTCCAATACAAGATGTATATAAAATAATATTAATTTACAATAAAATAAACTATTTGGTAACAAGTAATGTTAAAATGAAAAATTATAAACATAATAGATGCATATTTTGACAAATTAAAATGTAGTAGATCATAATGTACTTTTATAAAAAAAAATGTTGTTTGAAAATGAATAAACAAGGTAAAAAAATCATTTTCATTTCATTGTTTAATACAACCAAACAAGAGAAATGATTCTCTTCTCGGGAAATTAAATATCCTCATACCTTTTGGTCCTACTTTTCTTCCTACATATTTAAGATAATGACAAGTGTACAAATTTAACATCCCAATCAAATTTAAATTAAATTAAATGACACTTGTCACAATCTAAAATAGGTAGGAAGAGAGTAAACATGTTCATAAAAAGTAGGAGGATATTTAATTTTTTTTCTCAAAAACATTGTTCAAGTGTATTCTCAGTTCTACTAAGCACTTTAATCAAATTATTTTTTCTCAACTTAATTCTCTTTCTCTGCATTTTCATTCTCTATTGCAGGCGCCAACCCGCTCTCTATGTGTTGTCTATGTATAGCACCCAACTGTGAGGTTATTATTTGAATAGCATTTTTTATAATCATATAACATAGTTGTTAATAAATTAAAAAACAATATGAACAAGTCAACCCGCATGGCCGAATCTAATCAAATCATTGCATAGCAGGTGTAAGTGTAACAAATGCGTTCGACAATAAGAAAAAAAATTAATAGCTCAAAATTCCATAATGTCGAGATATCCTCTCTAATAAATGAATGTTTTTTTTTTTGTCATTTTTCAATCTCTTATAATTTTTGACACTTGTCATTTTGTAGTATTTTTAAATTAAATAATATCCACATATCATTTTATGGATTTTTTCAAATTTTAAAATTAAAAAGTCACATAATACTTATACTTATATATGTAAATTATTTATTGTAATAAAGGTGACAATAAATTGCAATGAATATGTTTTTTTCTTCCTTATTATTTCCAAATTTTATTTTAAAAAAATATTTAATATTACACTTTCATATTTAATATTTTTTTTTAAACCCGTGTAATACACGGGTTTAATACCTAGTATATAATAATATAAACAAATTTAGATAAATGGATAAATCCTAGCACGTTTCATTCGAAAATCCGTGTAGGTCTCATTTATACAAAACAATGTTTAGACAAAAGAAAACATTTTATCATCAAATAGCTGAAACCGACTATCATTTCTACTTGGGGTCAAACTTCATTGAGAAACGGAGACCACTATAAGCAAAAAGATTATCATTAGTATAGGGATGCTCACCTCCCCGACTCCCATCATCATAGCCTGCTGAATGTGCTGCTGACTCAGCATTCGGGTTAAGACCCATGAGTTCCATAATGCCCTCGATTTCTTTCACAATATCACTCATTGTTGGTCTTTGACTTCCGATTTCTTCCACACAACTCAATGCCAAATCAACAAATCTTTCCAAACCTTTGAGTTGACTGCTCAAACCAATGATCGGGTCAAGGACCTCGTGGAGATTGTATAACTCTTTGCTTTTGTCCATGGCTTGTCTCACTTCTCTCACGATGTGCTTCCCTCTCTCGATTGGATTCCTTGCAGTTATCAGTTCCAACAACACGACTCCAAAGCTATAAACATCACTCTTTTCTGTCAACTGTTGTGTCATGTAATACTCGGGATCCATGTAACCCTGCATCAAACAAAAATAAAGGTTTAGACTGGGAAGTAATTGCATAGATCACTCTTTATCTGTATATGCATAAGGGTTCCCTCCCCAACAGAATATACAAGATGTAAATCAGGTACACCGCAGCCCACTACATCTCTGAATTGTAACTCACACCCTCATAGTGGAGGATCCATAAATAAAAGTCAGCAATGTAGAAATTACTGACCATTGTGCCTTTGACTTGAGTGGTAACATGAGTTCTATTAGCATCGCCCAGTGATTTGGAAAGGCCAAAATCAGCAACTTTTGCGACTAGGCGTTCATCTAATAAGATATTATTTGTTTTAACATCTCTATGTATAATTGGAGGATCGGCAAGATCATGCATGTATTGTAACGCTTTTGCTGCTCCTAGTGCTATTCGAAGTCTTCTCGGCCAATCCAACCTCATTCCTGATCTCCCTGTATGGTTAATGTCCATTGATAATTACTTTTGCAATTTAGATTGTTAACATTACGGGCATGTTCAAATCAGAGAGATAACTCTCATGAGAACGGTAGAAATATCCATCGATAGGCATACCATTATTTAGAACATAAAAATTTGATAAATATTTCTTGCGTTAACTGATAAAATAAATCCCTTAAATATGAAAATAAAAAATTCATTCATGCATTGCATTTAGTTTTTATTTTTGAGGGATTTTATTTTTTTCAGTTTGCATGAGCACTTATACCGATATTGTTTTTCCACCTTTCTCATCCTCAGGTAATGTAAACATATATACTACTGACAAGTCATATAAAAAACAAGTTCAGGTTTCTATTTAAGGAGGGGTACGGATGGATATGGAGGGAAGGTGACGGATGTCGAAGGAAAAAATCGTGTTCACGAGTTTACTTGATGGAAGGAAAGTGAGGGGAAGGAAATGATTTTGGAGCCATATTTTCCTTCCAATTTTCCTCCCAAGTTGTGCGGATTCTGGAAGAAACACATAAACTTAAAATTTTTCTTTCATTTCCTTCGAACTCGGGAACACGTAATAAAGAAAATTTTCCTTTCCCTCCCTCCCTTTTTTTCTGTCAATATTTTCCTTCCCTTTCATTTTATTGAATTTACCAAAAACTCTGGAACAAGGTAAGCAATAGTGAAGCACTAATTAAGAATTTAAGTCTATCAACTCACATGTGACTTAAAACATGTGGCGTCTTCATAGAAGCACCAGACTGATTTTGATATATTATCAGTAGTGTATTTACATTACCTGAATCAGTAGTGTATTTACATTACCTGAACATTATAAAGACGGAAAACAGTATATACCTAGCATAATAGCTCTAATGAAAATAGTAGTCCATAGACTATATACAAATACAATAATAGCTTAGTAATGCTAACCAGAAAATAGCTAGCGATGCTTGTGGAGAAGAAAGTACCTGAAAGACTATCCTTGACTGTGCCATTGACGATATACTCATAGACCAACATCTGTTCACCTTGATCGAAACAAAAACCTACCAGACTCACAAGATTCTTGTGATGAACTCTCGAAAGAAGCTCAATCTCAGTTTTAAACTCTAGTGCCCCCTGTGTTGAATCCTGTTTAGCCCGTTTAATGGCAATCAACTGCCCATTTGGTAGACTTCCTCTATATACCTACACAAATAATTAATCCCATTGTTAATCATCTTCGATCTTTAGATATGTATATATATGCATGCACACACACATACACACGCATGTTGCACATGCTTACCATTCCATACCCACCAGTTCCTATGCTGTTCGTTTCCGAGAAATTGTTTGTGCATTTGCCAAGTTCCACAAAAGAGAAAGCTTTTGCTCCTTTCACTTGAGGGACACCACCACTAGTGGTTGGATCCCATAATGCTACAAGTTTCACACAAAAACTGTTAGACGCCAAATTCTATACTCCAAGAAACTGAGACTCATGTCATCACAAAAATTGTAATTTTTTGTCCAACCCTAAAAAGATAGAACATGGTGGGACTGGTAAGGGACTCGCTGATCTTCTGTGTGTGCAAAGACATGAATACCCTCCTCCTGAACAAAATAATTAACCCTAGAAAGTTTGTTCAATCTATCAGGTTATACAAGTAGCTATAGTGGATAATGACAAATCATACCAAAAGGGCTGCTCTCATGTGTTGCTCTTTCAGCTCGGCCTTTTTGTCGTAAAGCATACATTCCTGCAACTACCAATAACACCACAAGCACACAACCACCAACAGCTGCCCCCACAACGATTCCGGTGTGTGATGACTTCTTTCCGGACCCTGATGCTCTCATGAGATGACAACAAAATAAGTTTTCATCATTGACCAAATGTAAACTAGTTTCTACAAAAGGGTTACTTTTCTGGCAACCCCTACCCTCCCCCACGAGAGCTTCATGTGACATTCGAATTGAAACTCTGCTATGCCCTAGGGACACTGTAGACAAGTTTAAGAGGCTGGTATGGTATTATACGGATATGGATAAGAACCCATTACGTACCTAGGAAATATTCATAGTCGTCACCTTTGAAGACGTAGGTACCGAAGTCTGGGGGAGGCTTGAAAGTTTGGTTACTAAGTGACCACCCGATTCCATTTATCCCTTTCCTATCGAACGTTTCATCTCCTTCAGATGGGAAAACATGAAGGTTGATCACAAGGTAATCGTCTAACGTTTTGGTAGGATTCCCGAATGAAACAGAGTCTACGGGGAGTTGAGACATCTGAAAAGAACTAATCATTGAATCTCGTAGAGAGTCGTACTCAGTTGAAACTTCATGCTCAGACAAGCGAGAAGCCCGGAAGAAAAGTTTGCCTGTGTATGGAAATGCACACCGGCAGTTTGGACTCATAAATTGAAGCGAATGGCTACACCTCATAGGCACACACTTATTTGGTTGTCTAGAGTCTGAAGGAGTAGTATTTTCGGGAAGAGAGCAAAATTTTTCGGTCACGCCTGATTCCATACAAACTGGATTACCCACAAGTCTGCAGACAAATTGTAACCACATGTGTTTAGTTCATCAATTATAAATTTTCCTTCCTCTTTCTGAAAACAAAAAACATATGTATTAACTTGCTACTAGAAAAATGAGCATCAGCATTGGAACTCTCAACGGACTATTCTTTGCTAAAAACATGACAATTAGCACATACCCGTCCATTTCGGTAAAAACTTTAGCTAAAAGTTGTTATAATTACAAAACTCACATTAATTCGATAGTAGATTGGCTTCTTTGAGTGAATTCAACGATCTGATTATTCTGCAAATCAACTTGTTGTAGTTGTTTGCTATGGGTAGAGAAGATATCCAAGGTACCATTTAGTGTGTTGTCACTTAAATCACTGATGAAATTGCAAATCATGAGATTTCAGTAAGTAAAAAACCATGAAAACCGAAAATGAAAAACCAACTGAATCATTAACTCACACAATCTGTAATTCAGGGAGGCTGAAAAGGGCAGCGGGCAGCACTCCTTCAAGATTTGTATTGGACATCTTACTGCCAAACAATGTAAAGATGTAAATAAATTAATACCCACATTGCAATTAATTACCACAAGAGAAATGGAGATGGTTAAAGGGATTTACAGTTTTGTAAGGGAGTTTATATCTGAAAACCAAGAAGGAATGCCCCATTTGTCAAAACTGTTGTTGCTCAAATCCCTAGAATCAGATTTGCGTATTAGAATTTTAATGATTACTGTATCTGCAAAAAGGTTATTCTTCTAGACATTCTGACACTGTTTTCCTTGATTACTTTCTGTAATCAAGATCATCAGTTTAAACAAAATAAATTGGTTTATCTCTTTTTACTTACAAATAATTCAGGCCTTTCAAGCCGGTTAAATCGGGCATAGGGCCAGTCAATTGATTGTTTGACAAGTACCTATGAACATATTTATCAGACATTAACTCAATTTTGGATTAAATAAATGAACTATGAAGTTCTGATACTTACATCAGATTTACACCAGCAAGATTGTTGATGTTTGATGGAACATCGCCAGAAAACTGATTCCTATCAAGACGTCTAATATCACATGAAATACACCATTAAAAAGTTAGACATAGAGATTTACAAAAAGTCGAGTAATTAATATGATCATCATGGGTACTCACACGACTTCTAATGTTTGAACAAGCCCTAGTGTAGAAGGAATGGAGCCATTAAGCGTGTTATTTTCAAATAGACTGCTCAGAAAATAAAAAGGCAAAATGTAAGTTAGTTTTTTTCATCATCATAATATGTTTTTACAGAAGAATGATTGTCATATTGAAACATACAGATGAATTAGATTCATATTTGAGCTAAAGAGCTGAGCTGGAAGATTGCCACTGAGCATGTTCCCTCCAAGATGGCTGAAAATACGTAAGTGAGTAGAGTTCTAATTAATTAAATTCTTTTCATCGCAAAATGCCTTTTTATTTGAGAAATAGTGATGGACTTCTTAGCGACAAAAGAATTCAAGCATTAGCAACAGATTATTCCGTTACTAATCCTATTTTTGAAGTAGTGAATAGATTTACAAGTGTTCTGCATGAATCAGCATGTCAAGACCAGGAGTTGTGCCACTAGAAACCGGTATACTTCCAGATAGCCTATTATCGCCCAGATCCAACCAGTAAAGATTTTTGATATTACCAATGGAAGGTGGAATCGCTCCAGTAAAATTATTTGAATTGAGCGACCTACAAAATCCAATTCCGAAATTCATCATCTTATAGAATTCGAATTATTAATTTCTTCGTATTGATACTCACATAGAGATAAGATTTTCTAGACTCCCGAGGGTATCTGGAAGTCGACCGGTGAATCCGCAGTCTATCAGGATTCTGATAAACAAGTTCAGACAAAAGTCATGCTAGCATACTCAAAAACGTGTCATGTAAAATTATACTATTTATGTAATATTATAGAAAGGCCACTGTATGTGCTCGATCAGATACAGTCGAATAGAGATTGGACTCAAACCGTTGACTATTTATTTAATAAGTATACCAGTTGTGCATATAGAAAAAACATATATATAGCCCAAAAGATTTTGAGGTCTATTGTTAAAAACATATAAATTGTAACAACTACTTACAAGTTTGTTAATTTCTTCAATTTCCCAATTGCTGGAGGTAGACGCCCGGTCAAACGCTTATTGTAAGATAGATTTCTACATACCGAAAGGAATTATGAGACCAAAACACTGAAAGTAATAAGAATTACCCGAAAATCATGAAGCCATTTGAAGGAAAAACTTACAGAATCTGTAATTCAGAGAACTGCCCTATATCTCTGGTAAGGGTACCAATCAAACTCATGCTTAACAATATTCTGAAATTTCAAATGATATGAGAAAAAATAGAGATGAAACTTAATGGTTGTTAGTTTGTAATAACTTGTCCCACATGGATAAAAGAGTTGGAAGAAGTTCAAGTTGAAGGTTTATAACTTCATCCCATTATGAGCCCTTAAACTTGTTAGCTACTTATAAGTACTCTCACCATGTTGACAAAGGGTTTATTGGGCTAGTTAGTATATACGTTGCTAGGGTGTTACCAAATGACATGAGATCAATAACTTTCATCTTACTTTTAACTTGATCATGTAAGTTTGGACCTATATAGCTAGGTGTTACATATCATTGAAGATGAATAGTGGAGTAAGAACTCACATGGAGGTGACACGGCCGTTTGTGCATGTGATTCCGTCCCAATTACCACTACACGGATCGGGTTTATCATCCCAGTTCGGTGGTGTGTTCTTCCAAGCATTTTTGAGATCTTGAAGATATACATCTGCTCATTCATGAAAATTAAAACAATTTTCTCTTAGTAATCAAGCAAAACCGAATGAATTTCCCCTCGAAATCATCTTCCATTAATTTGCTAACACAATTATGAAAAAATCTTGAAGTGTTAGTAAAATAGGAATTCTAGAACCATATCTTCATTCGTGAATAGAATCTAGTTTCGAACAAAACAGACAGTGAACTTCATGTAGATTAGTTTACCAAACACTAGGAGCATTGTAGTCTCCAATCTCTATAATCTTGGAATTATGATGTAGGAATAATGCTTATGAGTCATTAAAGAAAGGTACTTGAATTAAAAATGATGGAAGTAATATGATGGTAATGAACTTACAATCATTGGTTTGAGCTGCTACAAACGAAAATTTGATGAAAATGATTAGAAGTAGTTGCACTATTGATGCACCCATTTGTGAATTGGATAATTAAGAAACATGAAGTTGTTAAAATAGAAAAACCGATTACTAATTCCAAAGAAGAAAGCTTCTTCATGACAACAAGTTGGCATGTACCATTGACATTACCATCAAATGGGAGTTAAATATATTGATCAATTAATTGAAAATGATTGAGCGTGGAGGTACTGTATAGATTTTACCGTTTACTAATTCTTTCTTTGAATTTTGCAAGTTGTAGAGTCTACTAATTCATTCTTTGAATTTTTTATGTTGCAGAGTCGGAACGTAGGATCAAATTTACTAATTTATTTCTATACAAAGATCAAAATTAGTATGTGAATTACGAGCAATAGTAGGGGGTATAGACGTGTAGTAATCCCCGGTTGCTTTAGTAGTCGTTGTATACCATATATCGTATAATAGATGTACAAATTTCTTATACGTTGAAAATTTGTCTTTTATAGAATCACGCAAGACGGCATCTATTACTAGAATCTAAATTTACAACCTAAGATTTGTAGTACAACATGAGTTTTACCTTTAACATTAAACTATGGTCATTTGGTGATGACTTACCTATATAACTAAAATAACTCAAGAATTTATTAAGTTTTAATAATCTCTTAACTAATTAACAAGAATATTGTTGGAATTGACATTTTGATTAGATGTGACTTTGATTAGGTGACGATAGACGTTAGCTAAATTTATATCATGTTATATATGGAGCTTTTAATTTTCTCTACAAAAGAGCTTTTAAGAAAATATATGAAACTCCCAACTTATATAGGTGATCTAACGGTGTCTGACTATTGCAGTAGTACTCCAACAAACGCATTTTCACATAAGCAAGCACATATAGAACAGATTCTCACATATACTAGCGGAGCCTCTTGAGGGCCAGGGGAGGCCATGTCCCCTTGATTTTTGACTTCCTAATAGCCTAATACGGTAATACCTATATATATTATATATAAGAAAGGTTTTTATTATTTCAGCAACTTTCTGCGCCCTACCTTTATTATGTATTTATTTATATATACATATAACATATGTAATCCAAAAATTATTTACATAATTAATCAACACCAAAAAGTCAGAAACGAATACTGTTTGATAATTCCAATTCCAGGTGAGTAATAACACTACAAGAATCTCCCGTCGACATCTATACCGACACATGTCCTCGGTACAATGTCACCTATCTCGACAACATGTCGGTACAGAGTTGACCAAGTTTTGTTGACCTGTATCTCTATACCGACGACTAGCGTCAAAATAGGGTCGGCGGGAACAAAAAAAATTCCCGGTTTTCTGAAAACTATAACAATGACAAGTCGTCGGTATAGATAACGAAAATTATAATTTCAAATTTTCTTATAAATCATGTTGCTGAGAATAAAAACTACGTTGTTTCCTTGTAAGTTTTTCCGACGACCCGTCGTCGATACAGAAACTGACGATCCGTGTAAACTCTCTACTGACGACAGGTAGTTTATACAAATTTTTTATTTTTTAATATTTTTTAAATTGTGAGAATATCCTTACGATGTCATATAGCTTATTACCTATACCGACGACATGTCGTCTGTATAGGGTTTTAACCCTAATAACCTGGTTTGTCTCACACATTTGCAGCCGCCGTATCCGTATCTTCTCTCTCGACCTCTCACCTATAATTGAGACCTTCCGCTTCACCTTCAACCGTTGGTAAGCTCTACATCACTCCCTAATTCCGATTTTACTCATCTTTTTCAAGTTTCATTTTGATTTGGGTGAATATTGTTCCACAATTCTCTTTGTTTTCCAGTTAGGTTGTCACCGGAGGACCACCACCACCAGCCACCGTATGTCACCTTCGGCCGCTGTATCTATCTCTTCACTTTTGACAGAAGGTAAGCTTTACAAACCTTTATTTAATTATTTATTTATTTTTGATTTGGTGTTTTTTCGATGACCACCAGCCACCAGCGGAGGACCGTCGTAGAAGCTGGCCACTGGAATCCCACAAGCACTGCCCACAGAACAACTAAGTATTTTTTTTGGTTAGATAATTGTATGAAAATATGATGTAACGTATGCCTACCTTGATGATTTGTATACTTGTTTGAAACTAAAATTTGGTATAAGTTGTTTGATTTTGTGTTTAGATGTATTGTATGATTGTATGAAAGTAGTATTGTATGTCTAAAATGAAGTGCTTAATTTCTTAAACCAGAATGATCAAGTGCTTCATTTGTTTGATTTTGTGACTGAATGAAGTGCTTAATTGCTTAAACTGGAATTGGGTGTCCAAAATGTATAACATCATACTTTAAGAAAAGTACAATGCCGTAATGAATATGAAAAGAAAAAAGAGCTACATTGATAAGTGCTTAATTATAACATCATACTTTAAGAAAAGTACAATGTTATGAATATGGAATGAAATACTTGTTACATTGATAAGTGCTTAATTATAACATCATACTTTAAGAAAAGTAAAGTGTTATAACTGAATATGAAATGAAAAAAGTGATACATTGATAAGTGTTTAATTATAACATCATACTTTAAGAAAAGTACAATGCTATAATTGAATATGTAATGAAAAAAATGATACATTGATAAGTTCTTATGTAGTATGAATATGAAAAAAGTACAATGCTATAATTGAAAAAAAAACAATAAAAATAAAAAGAAAGCGGAAGATAAAAAAAATAATAACAAAAAAGAAGTGAAAATAGAATGTTTTAAGAAAAGTACGTTGTTATTAAAGAAAACCTAACCAGTATGACTATAATTAATAAAAGTATTAAATTAATTAGAAAATCAAATTAAATGGTACATTATTTAAACCATAATATTATGTAATATGATATTAAAAGTATGATACTATAATAGAAAATAACCAAAAGTATGATGTGATAATTAACAAAAGTTTGATACTTTTGTTAATTTTCTATCAACATCGTACTTCAATATTATGTTACATAACATTATGGTTTAAATAATTTAATGTTTAATTTGATTTTCTTATTAAAACACGTTGAATCATTGATTTTTAGTTTAAACATCTTATTTATAATCATTAAGAGCTTAGAAATACCCGCCCGAAACTAATTTTGAAATTAATTTCGGGTTGTCCTGTTCTGGGACTGCTTTTTGAATACTTTATCTCATTTAGCATGTGAATGTGTAATGCATGATTGTTTGTTTAAGAAAAATTTGGTTGTCATTTTCTCTTTGCACCTCGATTATATATTTCTTTATATACTTGGGAGCTAAAAGGGAAATGTTGCCCATTTTTTCTTAAACAAACAGCTATGCAATACACATTCACATATGAGATAAGGTATTTAAAAAGTGGGTTTAGAAGCCTACCATTGTGAATACTTTATCCATTCCGACAGATTTTTACTTCTCGGGTATATATTTCTTTATATACTTGTGAATACTATATCCATTATCGGGTATATATTTCTTTATATAGCCCAAAACAATCTGACTTTCAATAACTCTATATACAATATAATTTTTTAATAATGAAACAGCAATGACGACCGATAAGAGTTGGATTAGGGAGAACCGAACGTCTTCAAAATTCTTGGAAGGTCTTAATAACTTTACGAAGATTGCTGAGAAACATGTCAACTCTAAAGGCAAGGTGTGTTGCCCTTGCAAAAAGTGTGTGAATATATATCGACAACTTTTGTCTACGGTTTATGCCCACATATATGACCGTAGGTTTCTAGAATAGTATACTGCATGGGTTCATCATGGTGAGAAACATGTTGCTTCTTCGGATTTAGGCTACAATTCGACTCCAAGAATAAACATTCCAACAACTAATGAGATGTTTGATGTAATTGATGATGCTATGGCAGTATAGAATACAAATGAAGAAAATATAGATATGGAGGGACGATGTATAGACCCAAAATTTGATGCTTTGTCTGCGGAGCTCAATACCAAGTTATACCCTAATTGTAACGATATGTATTCCTTAAATTTTTTGGCAAAGTTGTTGCATATTAAAGTGATCAATAGATGGACAGATAGTTCGTTTTACCAACTTGTAGAGTTACTAAGAGTTGCTGCAACACCCATAAAAATCAAGCCAATTTAAAACTTTTTCAACCATTCAAAACCATTAAGTTATTACAAAGTGCTTTCAAAATAGTTTAGACATCAGAGTATCCCAGAAATCCAGATCATAAAAATGTGAGGAGGTGCACGATCACGCCTTCGTCTTCCCGCGATCATCTAAAGTACCTAAAACAAAATCCAAAAATGTAAGCCCGAAGCTTAGTGAGTTCCCCCAAAATACCCGTACAACTAGTAACACATATATAATAACAACATATTATGGGCCTAATCAACCATCGGGTTGGAATGCTCCAAGCCCTCAACCATCGGGTTGGAATGCCAACAAACTATGGGTCCAGTCATCCTCGGGATGGTATACCCTCGGCCCACAACCATCGGGTTGGAATGCCCACATACTAAGAGTCCAATCATCCCTGGGATGGAATACTCATGGCCCATAACCATTAGGTTGGAATGCCCCGGTCTGTTGGCTCTCGCACAAAGCAGATAAGCCTCAACCACCAATCAAACATGTGCACATATATCAGATAATCACATAACAGTATATAGACAGACAAACCGATCTAACAGATCATAACAACATAATAACATCGTATCTACCGGGATATCGATCTAACATATCATAATAGCATAATATCATTCTATCTACCACGATACTGATCTACCAGATCATAACAGCATAATAACATCCTATCTACTATGATACTGATCTAACAGATCATACGATACTCGGGCATATAACATATTAGGATAACAATCCAAAAAGGGCCGGCCTTGGTGCCTTAGACCCTTGAGTATAGTGAGGAAAACTCACCTCACAAGTAGCTCGGGATGATAATGTCAACTCTCCGAATACAACTCCACACTCAATCACCTACATCCACCAGTGATCCACTTCCATAAATTTCCAATTTACTAAAATACCCCCAGAAGTCAAACTGGTCAACCCTTGGTCAAAGTAAAAGTCAATGGTCAACGTC